GGCATTGGAGGCGGCACCGGAAAAGAGCAAGGTCATCACGGCAGCAGTGGCGGCGGAAGGCTCAGACGATGGATCGGATGAGGACGGTTGGATTGGGCTAGACTAAGACGGCAACTAATATACCCCGTGTACAATTTCCCATGGTGAATCTCACGACCGGTTGGGGACATCCTGTATGTTGTTAGCCTTGTTTGTAGTAGAGCATGAATTTGTTGGAGACGTACCTCCCAGCTTTCGTCAAAGCCGGCGGCGCGCACCCATCGACCGCCTTCCTCTTCTCCGCCCTCTGTGCCATCCAGCAGCGTATAGTGCATTTTGAGCCAAATATCATCACTCTTTACCTTCCTCCAGGGCCGATCGGCATACGGCTCACACAGCTCCCGACACACCGCGAGGGAGCGAGCGACCTTGACGGTGTGGCCGTCATCGTCGATGGCGTGGAAGCGCGGCAGCAGGTCTTCAGGTCGTGCCATGAGTGCCTTTCCACGGTCGAGATCCTTGGGTCTGTATGCCGCGATAGCATCAAAGCGGATCTCGGGAGTGCCTCTGGCGGCATTCTGCACGAGGTCGAGGCGGATTTTGTACTCGAGGATGCGCACTTTGTCCTCGACTGAGATCCAGTCGGTCTTGTTCAACGCCACAAAGAAGGGGGCCGCGTTCGTGTGGTGGCTGGAGAACGTTAGTTCGCCCTCCTCTTTTGGATGTGCGCGGCCATCGAGTTGCTACTCACATGAGGAAGAAGTCCCATTTCGCATCCTTGCCCTTCCTCAGCGCCGCGCCAGCGGCAACCCAAAACGCAGTCTCGAACATTTCAGCCGTCCTCTCATCAAGCTCGTCGGTCTTGATCTTGACCCGCTTCGCAATCGCCTTCATCTCCTCCGGTGCTCTGATGAGCACGCCATCGTAGACCTTGTTGTCGTCCCCAGGCCGCGCGGCGTTCCGCAACTTTTCATTCTTCGCAATGGCTTCATGCAGTTCTTGGATCGAGGGCATGTCGCCAGCCGCGCCCTCTTCCGTCTCCTTGAGGAAGGGGCCAAGCTGATTTTTGTGCACAGCAGCCTGGGCAAGCCCCTCGGCAACAATGGCGGGCTGCTCCCACTCAATGCCGTACATGAGCTGGATGAGGGGATGGAGGAACCCGGCGAAGAGCCGCTGCAAGAGATCTTCTGCGCGCTCGTCCTTTGCAAAGATGAATTCCTTCAGGACGGGACCGATGCCGCGGGATTCGAGCTCACGCTGGAAGAAGAGCAGAAAGTCTGGATAGTAGGCCTCTTTCCCGAGGAGGCGCGGGGCCGTCTCAGACCAAGAGGTTGCGAGGGCATCAGCAAGGGCGGGGTGTATCGGCCGGGCGGCACGCTGGTACGACGTGTTGGTCTCATAGGCCCTGTTGAGTGAGTCGGGGGGTGCGCCCGTGCCGTAGAGGGCGAGGAGATGGTGCACAATCTGGCCGTGTTTAGTCGGAGTGGTTGAATAGTAGGAGTGAAGACTCTCACATGATTGTGATACCCTGATTGATTAAAGAAGACGTGGTGGTTCTGGGGTTTTCAGCGGACGCACAGGGCGGACCTAGGCGGTGCCAACATACCTCGAGATCTGACTGAAGCAGCTCTGTCGTTCTGGCCGCCGTAGGCTCAGGCTGATCAAATGTGAGGAGGCCCGTGTTGGTCTTGGAGACGTGAATCTTGTAAGCTGTCGCCATGGTTGCAGCTGCTGTCGAGGTAGACAGTCGGTGGTATCGCGGGACAGGTAGGGGGATTGATTTCAATGATGGTCGGGAAAGGGTGATCACTTTAGCTGCTGCTGTCGAGGCAAGTAATCTCATCCTTCTGTAATAATGACCCGCGTATTGGTGTCGTGGGAAAAGCGGCCAGACGGTCAGTTTATATACGTCAATCGAGCGTAATGCAGTTGGCTCGCCTTCGCCGTCTTACTCGCCTAGGGCCATGGTCAGTCCTAGGTACCTAAGACTCACACACCCGCGCAGATGATGATGCCGTCAGACGGAGGAAGGACACGATGCAAGAAGATGGGGAGATTACCAATCGATCACTTTTCGCTCTGGTCGAGATGCACCTGGTCGAGCACCTAGTCGGCGATGTCTATTCGGAATGCTGTCATTGGGCAGGCGCTCTGGGGTTGCGACGGGTAGGGAAGGCGCGACCCCAGTCGTATCCCCGGGGCGCCTTCCTGTCCGTACTTGTGACATCATCCCGATTCAGACCCGCGCGTTTCTGGCATATACCCTTCACTACCTTAGGTACCTAGGTAGCTAGGTACCTACCTTCACTAGGTATACTAGCCAGTCGCTCTCGACAGGCCACTTGCCCCGAACGAGACACATGGGGCGTGACCGGCTGCGCGTATCCGTCGTCGCTTGCTAATCAGAGACACAAGAGAGGTCTCGATGTCCGATGGCCGCTCATAATTCCGCTTCGGTCGCCGGCCGATGATGCCCTGAGTATCCCACCGTCGGCTCCCGAAGCACTGTCTCCGCTGCGGGGCCGACCGCCGGGTGTCTAGTGGAGGGTCTCACCTTCCATCAGTTGCCACACCACCAAGACAACATTGCCACGAATCACAAGGATGACAGGAACGTCGGACGTTTCAAGGCGGTTACTCTTTTTCTTCTTCAAGTTGTTCGTCGTGGATATCATATCTACTCCCCCGCACACCATGCGTTTCCCGCTTCGTATGCAACAAGTTTACTCGTCATCCTCGTCATCATCGTCCTCAAACTCGACATCGCTCATGGCCTCCATCTCCTGCGCCTGCGCAAAGTACTTGAGCGCCTCGGGCCACAGGTCGACGGCAATGGCCTGCGCGAGGTCGTCGCCGCCGGGGAAGATCTCGAGGTCGTCGTCCTCGTCGTCCTCGTCGTCCTCCATCTCCTCGTCGCCGTCGACCTTCTCGCCGTTGAGGCGCATCTGGATCTCGCGCGTCTCCTTCTCGAAAGCCGCCTTGCTCTCGGCCTCGGTGATCCTGCGGCCGACGTAGCCGAGCCAGGCAAAGAAGGACACGCCGCCCATGCCCGTCTCCTCCATCTTGGCGCGCAGGGCCTTGGCCTCGGCCGAGTCGCCCTTGCCGCCCTTCCACGCCGTCGCGTCGCTGTCCCAGACCTTCTTGACGAGGTCGAGGAGGCCGCCGGTGAGGTCCTTGCCGGCCTTCCAGCGGAGCGTCACGGGCTCGCTGATGAGGCCGGTGAACTCATCCGAGTGGCGGTACCAGAACTTCTTCTCGACGACCTTGTCCTCGAAGAAGTCGTTGTCGCCAAACTCGAGCTTGATCGACACGCTGCGCGGGTCGCCCTGCGCGCCGTTCTCAATGTCGAAGCGCGACACGGACACATTCTTGAGCGCCGCCAGCAACAGCGCCGAGTCCTGGGGCTGGATGTACTCGTCAATATCGGGGGGCGCCTGCTCAAGCACGAGGGGCCAGAAGTTGGGAATCTTGGAGATGATGGCCTGGCGCTTCTCGTAGAGGGGGCGCGTCAGCTCGTACTGCTTGCGGACTGTTGCGCGCTTCTGTTAGCTTGGTGCTCTTGGTTGCTCAACCTCGGTTGCCTGTCCTGGTGGATCGCACGTACTGATCTCGGTCTCGACATCCTCAAACTCGCGCTCAATAGCAGCGAGCTGCTCGTAGCTGATAGGCGACTCCTCAGCCATTTTGTAGGACAATGGTATTAATGTACGTGTGTGTATGTGTGTAGACCTTTCTCGTGTTACTCGAGAAAGAACAAGTGCGAGGGTGTAGTACGGTGTAAGGACGTGAAAGAATCCAAAAACAAAAAAAGTTGGTATGCAGGAGGGGAAGGAACAGTCAGGAAATGCGGTGAGATGTGATGAGCTCTAATACCCCTCCATCAACCTTCCGCCCCAACACACTTAAATACCCTTTTCCCCCTCCAGCTCTCGCAGGCCTTGAGGGCTCCCCGCCAAAAAGCTACGTTGCCAGGGGCAGCTAGCCCAGCTAGCTGGGCAGCAAGCGGGCTCAGCCTGATGAGAGCGAGCGAGAGAATGCGTGACAACGCAGAGAAGGGCAAGGAAAGGAAAAAAAAAATCTTCTTGTTCCCCTCCAGCCGTTGCCCCTCTGGGACCCTCCACCAAGTGTCATTGGCTCCCCAAGCTGATGTCATTGGTTGGACCCTGACCCCTTCCCCCCCTCTCTAAAGGTGAAGATCCGCGCGGCGAGGCGTGCCCTTTCTGACCAGTACCCCGATTCGGGGTTTGTTTTTTCTTCTTCTTTTTTCTTCTCTACCGGGTAACGTCCCTGGGGAGGCGAGGTGGAAGCGCCCTAGCCCGACTGTACGCCCCATCCGCTGGCGCCTTCTGCCTTTTTGGAAGGGTCCCATGTGGGGC